ACATTTGTATGTCAGACTCAGTCCATCTGTCTCAATAAATTTAACCTTGGTTATCACAGTCATATCTACTGAATGAGAAGAGACATTCATATTAAACTTATGTATTAGTATATATATTTACCTGTGAGAATGGCATGGTTTTTTTTTTTTTTACATGTGACCTAGAAGTTTGACCAACATGCAAATAAATTAAATTGTTATAAATTCATCATTTTGAAAGAGAAAAGTTAGGACATTCATATCATAATGCATGTATATTATTACCTGTGATAAGACCTTTCCAAATAAATCATGACTTTTACACTGTGACCTTGACCTTGAAGCGATCAAGCCTGACCTACTTTTCAAAAATGTTGCATTTGCTTATAACATTTTGATTGAGATGAGATATGACTCTCACATTTGACATGTACATAAATTACTCATAAGAATTCAAGGTGTTTCCCAGTATGCGATGTTTTTTTATGCGCCCGAATTTTTTCGAAGCGCATATTGTTTTTGTCCTGTCTGTTTGTCTGTTTGTCTGTTTATCTGTTTGTCTGTTGTCAACTTTAACCTTGGCCAAAACTTTTGAACCGTAAGAGATAGAGACTTCATATTTGGTATGCATACTCCTCTAATAAAGTTCTTTCAAATGACATCAAGGTCAATGACTTTGTGACGTTGACTGTGACCTATATGCTAAAGATAGGTTTTTCAACTGTTTGTCATAACTTTTGAACCATAAGAAATAGAGACTTCATAATTAGTATGCATACTCCTCTAATAAAGTTCTTTCAAATGACATCAGGGTCAATGACCTTTTGACCTTGACTGTGACCTATATGCTAAAAATAGGTTTTTCAACTGTTTGTTATAACTTTTGAACCATAGGAGATAGGGACTTTATATTTGGTATGCATACTCCACTAAAAAGGTTCTTTCAAACAACACCAAGGTCAATGACCATGTGACCTTGACTGTGACCTTTATACTTAAAATAGCTTTTTCCACTTTTTGCCATAACCTTTGAACCATAGAAGATGGGGAATTCATATTTGGTATGCATACTGCACTAATTAAGTTCCTTCAAATGACATCAAGGTCAATGACCTTGTGACCTTGACTGTGACCTATATGCTAAAAATAGCTTTTTACCACTTTTTGCCATAACTTTTGAACCATAAGAGATAAGGACTTCATATTTAGTATGTTCTTTTTCAAACAACATAAGAGATAAGGACTTCATACTCCACTAATAAAGTTCTTTCAAACAACACCAAGGTCAATGACCATGTGACCTTGACTGTGACCTTTATACTTAAAATAGCTTTTTCCACTTTTTGCCATAACCTTTGAACCATAGAAGATAGGGACTTCATATTTAGTATGCTTACCCCACTAATTAAGTTCTTCAAATGACATCAAGGTCAATGACCTTGTGACCTTGACTGTGAACTATATGCTAAAAATAGCTTTTTCGAACTTTGTTTGCCATAACCTTTGCATAGAAGATAGGGCATAGCTTACCCCACTAATTAAGTTCCTTTCACAAACAATGACACCTTGACTGTGTATACCCCTTTGTTGACGTTGATGTTTTACATAATTTTCAAAATATTTAACTCTCCTAAAAGATGATTAGGCTTCTGAGTAACATTAAGGAAGACTTCAAGGAAGACAGGGCTTTTTGCACAAAAAACGTCATTTTTCAACCCACATTTGACCCCCCGGGGCAAAATCTAAATTCCAAAACCTTACTGCACATCTACATGACCCCACCAACCATCTCCCAAAAGATAATTAGGCTGCTGAGTAAAATGTAAGAGGAGTTCAGGGAAAACAGGGCTCTTTGTATGAAAAACGTTATTTTTCGACCCCCATTTGATCCCCTGGGGCAAAATCTTAATTCCGAAACCTTACTGCACATGTACATGACACCACCAACCATCTCCCAAAAGGTGATTAGGCTGCTGAGTAAAATGTAGAAGGAGTTCAGGGAAGACGGGACTTTTTGCACAAAAAACGTCATTTTCGACCCCCATTTGACCCCCCGGGGGCAAAATCTAAATTCCGAAACCTTACTGCACATCTACATGTCACCACTAATCATCCCACAAAAGATGATTAGGCTGCTAAGTAAAATATAAGAGGAGTTCAGGGTATATGGGGCTTTTTACATAAAAAACCTCATTTTTCGACCCCCATTTGACCCCCCGGGACAAAATTAAAATTCCGAAACCTTACTGCACATCTACATGACACCACCAACCATCCCCCAAAAGGTGATTTGGCTGCTGAGTAAAATGTAGAAGGAGTTCAGGGAAGACGGGACTTTTTGCACAAAAAACGTCATTTTTTGACCCCCATTTGACCCCCGGGTCAAAATCAAAATTCTGAAACCTTACTGCACATCTACATGACACCACTAATCATCCAACAAAAGATGATTAGGCTGCTAAGTAAAATGTAAGAGGAGTTCAGGGAAGATAGGTCTTTTTACATAAAAAACGTCATTTTTCGACCCCCATTTGACCCCCCGGGGCAAAATTAAAATTCCGAAACCTTACTGCACATCTACATGACACCACCAACCATCCCCCAAAAGGTGATTTGGCTGCTGAGTAAAATGTAGAAGGAGTTCAGGGAAGATGGGACTTTTTGCACAAAAAACGTCATTTTTCGACCCCCATTTGACCCCCCGGGGCAAAATCTAAATTCCAAAACCCTACTGCACATCTACATGTCACCACTAATCATCCCACAAAAGATGATTAGGCTGCTAAGTAAAATGTAAGAGGAGTTCAGGGTATATGGGTCTTTTAACATAAAAAACATCATTTTTCGACCCCCATTTGACCCCCCGGGGCAAAATTAAAATTCCGAAACCTTACTGCACATCTACATGACACCACCAACCATCCCCCAAAAGGTGATTTGGCTGCTGAGTAAAATGTAGAAGGAGTTCAGGGAAGACGGGACTTTTTGCACAAAAAACGTCATTTTTCGACCCCCATTTGACCCCCCGGGGCAAAATCAAAATTTTGAAACCTTACTGCACATCTACATGACACCACTAATCATCCAACAAAAGATGATTAGGCTGCTAAGTAAAATGTAAGAGGAGTTCAGAGAAGATAGGGCTTTTTGCATAAAAAACGTCATTTTTCGACCCCCATTTGACCCCCCGGGGCAAAATCAAAATTCCAAAACCTTACTGCACATCTACATGACACCACCAATCATCCCCCAAAAGGTGATTAGGCTGCTGAGTAAAATGTAGAAGGAGTTCAGGGAAGACGGGACTTTTTGCACAAAAAACGTCATTTTTCGACCCCCATTTGACCCCCCGGGGCAAAATCAAAATTCCGAAACCTTACTGCACATCTACATGACACCACCAACCATCTCTTAAAAGATGATTAAGCTACTGTGTAAAATGTAGGAGGAGTTCAGGGAAGAAAAGTGTGACAGACGGACGGACGGACGGACATGAGTAACAACAATATACCCGAACTTTCTTTAGAAAGTGCGGGTATAAAAATGATACCCACCCTCCTGCTATTGCATTAAATGTTTTTTATTTCAAAAAAGGTCCAAATATTAATTTAAAACCTTTTTAAAATTTTGCTAGTGCAGATATACATACCAAAAATGATTATAACATACATGTATACTCAAGTCATAGGTAGTAAAACCGTTGTGTTAAGCACAAACTTCCAATTTCTCTTCATTCGAAGTTAAATATGTAAATGTATCAAACTCATATAGTACACTTTTACTGCAATGACCTTGAAAAAGCTATGTCCTTGAGTCAAGGTCAAACATGTCCAAATGAACTTTGGTCAAGGTCATTACAAACCTACAGCTCAAAAATAATCCCCGAAATGAAACTTCAAGTCTTTTCATTAGAATGTTACAGAATGGGCAAAGATTGCACTATTCTTCTACCAATGACCTTGAACTTGTTCACATGACCTTGGGTAAAGTTTTTGACACATCTCTAGATCACAAGCAATCTTTATATCAAGTATGAACTTTCGGTGGAACTTCATTGAAATGTTATGGACAAGGCAAAATTTTACATACATATGGATTGGTGAACAAGGTGATTCCTACCCCCCCCCCCCCCCTCCTTTTCCAAGTTTCGTTTGTGAAGAATAAAAAATTCCTATTGAAATTGAATGTACATTTATTTATCAACAATAGTAAAATTATGAGTATGCTTTGATCAGAACCAATATGACCAATTAATGGAGACTGTACATGTATTCAAATTACCCCCCATCCCTTCAAAAAAGCTTATGAATGCCAGATTGTCACACATTTTAACCATTTGTAACTTTTTTCTACTAAAGTTGCCTGCAAATTTTATTGTATAGATATGACATATAGATAACCTCTAACAAGATCACATCATTCATTTTTCCAGCAGTGGTTGTAGATTTTGTGTATATAATGATAAACATATGTAATTTTTTTCAAAATTAATAAGCATTGACGCCATGTTCTTTTCCCATTGTCATGGCAACAATATCACTACAGAAATTTTGTTTTTCCTATTTTTGGAGAATAAAGTAATTCCATCTTTTAACAAATAAAGTAGCCAAAATACCTTATCTTATCACGTTCAGAAAACATATTCATAGAAAAGTGTCTAAAAATCATTGATTTTCATAAGGATTTATGAACCCGTTGCTAAGGAAATGAATTTCCTTGGATACCAGTCCCTTCATACGTTCGAAAATATTTTTAGTTGTGTTTTAGCATTAGGTAGGACAAAATCTTTCTTATAGTAGCATTCGCTGCATTTCTAACAACAATCTCCAGGAAATTGGCAGTTAATTGCTTCACAAATATATCTCTTTACATGTTTTTAGTCATTTGCATTGACTTTTAAAAGATCTGTTTGAACGTTTCAATTTAAAACTGTTTTTTTTTTTTTACCAACTGAATAAGTAGATTTCTGACCATGCATTTGTTTTAAATTTCTAGACTATTTCCCTTTTCAGCAATTTGTGACAATAAAATAACTCCTACTGGTGCCTGCAATGTACACTACTCCAGTGATAGGATTATCAAGAGAGGGGGCGTGGTGGTCACTCAGAGTGGGGGGACATGCTCCTCCCCGGAGACCTGTACTAACTGTAACGATGGGTTCTACTCCACAGGTCCAAAGTGTGAAAGTAAGACTTGTCAGTTCTTCAGTCTGCTGCATCATTTTATTTACAATTTTGAGTATGATATGTTTTACACTTTTGGAATCTAATTTACAATTTTGAGTATGATATCTTTTACACTTTTGGCATCCAATGTAATGTATGATTTAAAAGCTTTTCAATTTTCTGAAGTAATTAGCCTTGAGCCAATGGGTACATTGGTGCCAAAAACATTATTTGTAATTTCATGATTGTTCAGATCATTCAGTAATTTGTTTTCATAGTTTGTCCACAAATTGCAAATTGCAACCACCGTAGATGTACAAGTGCAGGTGACAACATTTGCGAGTATTGTGATGGAGACATTGTTTCTAAACCTTACTGGAGGGCGTATACATCAGCTCCTAGTAACAAAAAACAGTGTCAAAGTAAGTTCTGACTGAAAAACAGAAAAAATTTCAAAATCTTAAAAGTTAATTATCGGTTTCAACTATTACAGTACAAGTATTTATATATCATTAAGTAATGAGTGAAGGGATTAATTCTGTGATTCATTATACAGAGGCCTGTTCCTGGAGATCAGATAGTACGAGGTGTTACCCGGGCTCGTGTCAGGATGAGCTGGCCTCACAGTGTCAGTGTACCAAAGGCTTTACAGGGACTCACTGTGACACAAGTAAGAATGATTTGTTTAAAGGAATATAAATGTTGATGTTGAATAAATTATTGCTGAACACTTCATATTTGATTTAAAAACTAGTACAAAATTAAATTATAACATATACATTTTATGCTGGTAAATTGTGTCTTGATGAATCCATCGGATCCGAACGTCAGTCCACCACAACCTATTGTATGGACCAATAATGTCATCTGGCATGAGGCTGATACCAGGTGGGATGCTAAATATACCCTGACAGAGACCCCTCCCCCTCCTGACCCCACAGGACAGAACCACTATGTGACAGATTTTAAATACGGCATTGTACAGGCTACTTCCCATATCCAGTTACTCAGAAATCAAGGTAGCTCAATATTTTTTTTTTTAATTGATTTTGATTTTTTTTACTGTTGTATGTAACCAAGCAGAACTATTTCAGTTGTACTTTGAAATACTATTTCTACAAAAATTCATATTAGCAAGACCCTGAAAACATTACCTACTCCATTTAAAGGATGTTAAAGTCAGAATAGGGACATTGAAGGAAAATGACTTATCATTGTATGATTCTTAGATTGTAATATTGCCAGTTAACCAAATTTATGAATTACATGATATTGCAAATTATGCATGAAGCAGATTTAATTCTGCTATCCAAAGAAAAATTGAAATAGTATTACATGTAGTAGAGATAGATGTATAAGCATATCGTTGATTTATTCTGTAGGATACAATCATGTTTTGATTATAGGTGTTGCCTGGAACAACTAATTAGTGTTGGTCCCTGCGTATCAGAAAAAGCACCAGTATACATTGTGTATGACTTAATTGTAGATATTGTTGGGAATAACTTGTATGTTTGTCCAGGAGTAGTGGCTAACTTTTTTCCAAGCCAACTTCCTTTCACTTCCAATTTTTTCCTATATTTCCTTGCTATACATATACTGTAAAAAAAATTGGGGGGCCAACCATATTTTCAATGGACATTTACTGTAATAAAGGTAATGTTGGGTAAAAAGAGTCCAAATTTTCTCCCAGAGTTTCAGATAGGATTAAATTTGTAGTTTCAGAAAGAGCTAAATTGGCCATAACCTGAGAACTTGTGATACTCAGGTGACCGTCAATGCCCATGGGCCACTGAAGCTCTTGTTTTATGCTATAATATATGTTTTGTGTTATAATATAGATAATGATCTTTCTTTATTATCAATAGAGTGAAATTCAACATTGAAGCCAAACTGGGAGGATATGTAAAGATAATGAACCGAGAGGCAGGGAACAGGATTGAGTATCATGCCCTGAAACAAACCAGCAATAAACGTGAATACGTGTACAAGTGGGACTTAGTCAACCCCTATCACTGCGTGGCTTCCTCCTCTTCATGTCCTCAGTTCCTCACCGTGGTGGACCTTACAGAACAAGGTACTGCCCAGTTCTCATAATCAAGCTCTGGAAATTTTGTCTTGTTATTTTTGCCCTAACACATTAAAAATTATATGAAAAAACAAAATTTACATGTTAATTTAAGTTTTATGGCCTGTCACAAAACAATTTCCTTTTTTCATGGCCTACTAATATTTGTTTCTAATTTTTGTTGTAACCACTTGTCAAACTATTACTGGTTGTTTACAGCCCACCATAACAATGACATGGGATGGCTGGGCTGATGACTTGTCAGGTTTGCTGAGATATGAATATGAGATATATCAACTCGGCCATGATGGATTTGAACTCGGAGAAAACCAGGGGAAAGTAGTCAAGAGCCCAACTACTATCAGCCTCAATGATCCAAGTGTAAGTCTGTATAAGATGGAGTTTGTCGTATTACGAAAGCCCAGAAGGCTCATTCGAGATTCAAGTTTCGAAATACGAGATTCAGAAATCGAGATTCGAAATTCGAGTTTCGAAATTCAAGATACAAACTAACCAATCAAAAGCGGGTTCAACTTTTGATTACTTCCCTTTGTAACGTTTTTACTATCAAGAAATCGTTGAATATATTTATAACAAATGGATCATTTGCTAAAATGATAATGCAAGAAAAAATGTTTTATGTATTAAAACGAAATAAAAATAAAATTTGGATTACATTTTGAAAAATACATATATAATCTTATTTTTCTAATTTAACAAAGTAGTATATACGTATATATGGAATATTATAATTATGGTCTTATCGTTGACTTGTCGAACAAGTAGGTCAACTAATTTTATTTCATCGGATCATTCTTGATGGAGAAAGTTGCATTTAATTATAATTAGACATGAAATATTATGAATCGTGTCTATACTGCACAATAATTTAAGGGTATATATTTCATCACATCTATAAAGGGTACATTTGTGCAGTGAGACTTGACTGCCGAATCGAACTGTAGCGTTATATAAGGTTTTATAAGGGTATATTTTGGTCTTTGGCCATAAAGCTATGGTCAGAGACTAAAATATAACCCCATAACGCTATATAGTTCTGCATCTAATTTAGACTCATCTACTATTTGATATAAGATAAAATAGATGCCGCATTTATTTTAATTCATATCGCCAAGCTGTATTGTAGATATAATTTTTAATTAATTCAAGAAATCAAAGCCTTAGATAAATATAAGTAATTACATACTTAATTTTTATGTATTTCCTCTATCAGGAAAACGAACGCGATTTTTCTTTATGATACTATGTCGTCTATCAAGTTTCAAGCCTTTCAGTGTGTTTGGAAAAATGGGCAGGCGGGGTGGGTAGGGGTGGGGTTATTGTTAACCTTTAGACACTTGCCACGTATCCATAACTTTATTTATATGTCACCAACCCCGTAAACAAAATAGACAATACAAATATATATATATATATATATATATATATATATATATATATATATATATATATATATATTCAAAAAATTATTTTTCCTTGGTATAGGGATAAAATAAAATCCAAATTCAAATGATAAACTCAAACTTTTATCTAAAGCGCTTTCGCCCCATGCGGGCTCATCAGTAGATTTGAAATTGTAAACAAGTTACATTATGACGTCATTCTCGTGACGTTATGTAGGCAACGTTAAACATAATGACTGTGACGTAATAGTAATCACAGTTAAATGAGGCGCACAGATAAAGTTTTTCAGTTCATCTGATCAAAGTTAAGCGCCTATTATAAATGTACAATAATGGAGACATTTTATATAAAATGTACATAATAAAATAATTTGATATAAATTCCTTTTAACAGTTCAATTTTGGTTTAAACAGATTTATAAAATATTGTTCTTTGGCTTTCCGTAATTGTTCATTTTCCTCTTTTATTTTGTAAAAAGGAAATATATAAAAATGTCCTTTGCCACAAGAATCAAAGTGTTCACTACATGGCGTGTTTCGTATGGTCGGATCCTTAATCTGTTGTTTGTGCACGCGAACACGGTCGGCTAATTTGGTTCCGGTTTGTCCTATATAATTTTCCTCACATGTAGGACACGTCATACAGTATATAAGGTTTTTAGATTTACACGTCATAGAAGATTTAACGTCAAACTTCATTCCGTTTTTAAAAATAATGGTTTGTCCGGTTTTTAAAACTTGACAGGTTCCGCATCGTGGATCCTCGCACTTAGAAACCATCGGTTTCTCGGGGTTCGATGTAAATTTGGCAGTGGTAAGAATCTTTTTCAAACTGGGAGGTTGACGCCTGCTGTGTAGTATATCCTTTGGTTTAATAAGGTCCATTATTTTTAAAATCGGAATGAAGTTTGACGTTAAATCTTCTATGACGTGTAAATCTAAAAACCTTATATACTGTATGACGTGTCCTACATGTGAGGAAAATTATATAGGACAAACCGGAACCAAATTAGCCGACCGTGTTCGCGTGCACAAACAACAGATTAAGGATCCGACCATACGAAACACGCCATGTAGTGAACACTTTGATTCTTGTGGCAAAGGACATTTTTATATATTTCCTTTTTACAAAATAAAAGAGGAAAATGAACAATTACGGAAAGCCAAAGAACAATATTTTATAAATCTGTTTAAACCAAAATTGAACTGTTAAAAGGAATTTATATCAAATTATTTTATTATGTACATTTTATATAAAATGTCTCCATTATTGTACATTTATAATAGGCGCTTAACTTTGATCAGATGAACTGAAAAACTTTATCTGTGCGCCTCATTTAACTGTGATTACTATTACGTCACAGTCATTATGTTTAACGTTGCCTACATAACGTCACGAGAATGACGTCATAATGTAACTTGTTTACAATTTCAAATCTACTGATGAGCCCGCATGGGGCGAAAGCGCTTTAGATAAAAGTTTGAGTTTATCATTTGAATTTGGATTTTATATATATATATATATCCAAAGTCTCTTTTTGTCAATACAATAAAAAACTTTAAAACACTTTTCGAAATATTTCAGCCGTGTCACCGGCCTTCATCAGTCGTGTTTATTTAAATGCATAGCAACTCAACAGTATTATGACGTCACAATGAACATAGAAATTGAGAGGCAACGTCATGCACTAAAATTGCGACAAAAACATCTGAAAATATTGTGAGAGTAAAAATTGTACTTGTGTATCAACATTTTTATCATACAGAATAAAATACTAGAATACGGGGTATATTTAAAAGATGATTTTAAAGTATATATAAAAGTATATCTCTAAAAATAAGTATCACAATGTCACACAAATGTTCATAAATCAAATTCAAAGACAGAAGTGTTCCCTTTTGTTAATACCAAATGGTATATAAGTGTTCAACTTTTTCTTCCAAAGATTTTCTCTATATTTGCGGTAAATGTCATTCTTATACAGTTTTTCAATGCCTATTATATTATAATCTTCTACTGTATGTACATCTGAATTAAAATGAGTAGCCACAGGATCATTTGTTTCTCTTCTAATTAAAGACAAATTCAACACATGTCTTTGATATAAACTGTCACCAGTTTCTCCCACATACACTATTTTGTCACACTTTTTACAAAAAATTCCATAAACAACATTCCTTGATTTACAATTAATATAATTTTTGACTTGAAAA